TGCCTGTGCTGATGACAAGAGCTACAGGATAATCCTGAGTCAGGATATCTGCACACTGGCTTCAGGGTTTTCAAGAAGGGATCACAGAAACAAAGATAGATAGGTTGGAAGGGACCACAGTGGGTCAGCTGGACCAACCTCCCTGCTCAAGCAGGGCCATCCTAGAGCATGTGTCACAGGATTGTGTCCAGGCAGTTCTTTTCTGCTGTCACTTTCCAGTGACAGAAACTAATCAACACAGCCTCTCTGGGCAATCTGTTCCAGTACTTTGTCATTCACAGAGTAAAGAAGTTCTTCCTCATGTTCAGGTACAACATTTTGGGCATCAGTTTCTACCCACTGCCTCTTCTCCTGTTGCTTGGCTCCACTGAGCAGAGCCTGGCTCCATCCTCCTGCCACCCTCCCTTCAGGCACTGACAGACATTGATGAGCTCCCCTCCCAGTTGTTTCTTCTCAAGGCTGAACAGGCCCAGCTCCCTCAGTCTGTCCTCGTAACAGAGATGTTCCAGTCCCTTCATCATCTTTGTCCCCCTTCTCTGGACCTGCTCCAGGAATTCCATGTCTCTCTTGTACTGACTGAGGAGTCCAGAACTGGACACACAACTCCAGATGAGCTTCACCAGGGCTGAGTAGAGGGGCAGGATCACCTCTCTCAACCCGTTGGCCACAAGGGCACTGCTGGCTCATGGACACTTGGTGTCCACCAGGTCCTTCTTTGCAGAGTTGCTTTCCAGCAGTTTGGCCCCAAGCATGTGCTGGTCCCTGGGGTTATTCTTCCCCAGGTGCAGGATCCTGCATTTGCCTTTGTTGAATTTCAAATGGTCCCTTCCTGCCCATCTCTCCAACCTGCCCAGGTCTTCCTGAAGGGCTGCACAGCACTCAGGGGGATCAGTCCAAAGCTTCTACCCACTTTGTGTCATCCATGAGCTTGCTGAGGAGGCATCTGAACATTCATCCAAGTCATTGATGAATAATTAAACAGTACTGGGCCCAGTATTGAAGAACCTTGGGGGACACCACTCATGATGCCACTCATGAGTCCTTGCCATTTTTGAAGACTAGGGTGACATTTGCTTTCTTGCAGTCCTCTGACACCTCTCCTGATCTCCATGACCTTTCAAAGATGACCACGAAGCAGCCTCACTATGATGTCTGCCAGCTCTCTGCAGCATTCATTGATGTGTTCTGTCAGTGCCCATGGACTTGTGGATTTCGTTTTCCTAGCTTTTCTCTAATCCAATCTGAGAGTAATGACAGAGATTTTAAAATGTTGCATGATTTTTTTTAAAGTAAGAAAATTTGAGGATAAATTGCAGCATTGCTCCCTATATGCACCCTAAAGCGATGCCTGTGAATGACAGGATGGACAAGCTTCTGTTACAGCTCAATCTTTGGCCTCTGTGGATTGCTGAGAAGTAACGGGTATTACAGATATAAAATGCCAACCACAGGGTAAGCCCAGCTCCATCAATAGTCAGAATGAGCAAAAGAGAAGGAATCATCAGGGGTAGAGGATTTAAATACCTTTGCGTGGGTAAATTATCAACTCATTTCACTGGCCAAAGAGAGAATATCTCTGGAGACATTTTACTGAAGACAGGAATGCAATTAGATTGTTACACAACTATTACAGGGTTTTCAGAGAATTATTTTTAGTGCTGTAGAAATATTAAAGTATTAGAGCAAAACATGTAAAAGCAGAGAAGAGCACAGTTAGAAACTTTCCATGGTCTTTGGACTCGTAGATGGACTCATGTTTGAGGATTGATTGATATTATGGCAGTTTACCTCTGTGGCATTCACCCATAAAGAGTGACATAAATTCCAAATTTTATTTCCTTTCAGAGCTAATGATATTCTGGATATGCTGGAAATTTCTGTTGTCAGAAACACAGAAGTGCATTCATTGGCATACTTGTGTTCCTTGCCTCCTTTGTCTGGGTGAAAATTATAGGGATCAAAACATATCTGGCCCCAATGTCTTTATGCTAACATAACAGTGTGATTTGAAAGTGATGCATAACTGCTTCTGCATTAAAAAGGCAAGTTAGCAACATGCAGTCATTATGAATTGTTTTCATTAAAGTTTAACAATTGCATTTGCCATGCAGCTTTACATTTGAGATTATCCTCTGGTCCTTTGTCTTACACGCTGTAGTTCATTTGGGTAGTCTAAATACCTAGGATCTGCTCCTGTAAAGAGAAGCAAATCCTTCTTGTAAGATCCTGCTTGAAGTTAGGGACGTGGCGGAGTCAGTTCCAGAGAGCACACAGCACATCCTCTGGCCTTGGCAGAGGTGGAGGGTGCTCGACTCCTCCTGTTCCACCGAGCCTGTGTGGTGAGCAGGTTGGATGCCAGTCTGAAATGTGAACTTCTGCAGTGACAGTGCTGAAACCGTGAAAGAGCCTGCATTTGGCCATGGCGTCGCTTCTCCCCAGTGCTGTCAACACCAAGACTCAGACTGCAACAGCAAAGGGGGAAACTGCTGCTTCAATGATTATTGCTCAGACGTTGATGTACCCAACCATCTCTCCCTCTGCATCTCTCCTCAGCACCATTTCTGCTGTATCTAATAATTGTGTTTCTTTATAAACAGTGATTTAGGACAATTATTTAGCAATAGCATAGTTAAACCTTTAAGAGGTTATCTAGCAATGTCATTTTCTTGACTAATGTGTTCCTGCTGCCGTGTCGTTTGTGAATAGACATGTGTTAGCCAGCTAGTGTGCTTCATCTGTGGTGACTTTGATTTATTTGCTCTGTAAATTGGGACTGAAGCAATAATGGAAAGTGACATTAATTGTTTAACAGAGTCCTCTTTGTCACATCCTCTGCTTTCTCTGGGGTGTTTGAATGTTGAAACTTGTACAAAACTAATTGAAATTGCTGTGATGAGGACCGGTGTCCGCTCAACTTTCTGTTCTTGAATGTCAGCGCACTTGAATGTCTGTTTAAAGCATGAGAGTGGAGCAGCTAACAGCAAATATCAGGTTTTCTTCTGGCATGCTATTATTAAAGAAGGCATTCCCTGTTAGAAATAGCGACACTTCCAGCTTCATTGTCAGCTTTATAAGCTTCAAGGCTCAGCAGTGTGCCCCACCAGATGGGGTTGCTGAAAATGTTCCTGGTGTAGGGCTGGGGTCAGGCAGCCAAACCATCTCATGGACACCCTAGGCTCGAGGGCTAGGTCTCACGCCATTCATCCCACCACCTGAGAGACTTGAAATGCCATTGGGAAAAAACACTGGTACACACTTTCAATAATGCCTTTTTTTACTGTTCTAGAAGGGACACAGTAATTTTTCCTCTTTTTCTCTCAGAAAGTGGCTGTGAAAAGCTGAATTAAGTTTAATTTGGCTCCCTTCTGCCATTTTCATTCTCTACACACTGAATTATCACAGCTGTGTGTGTATGTCTGCTTAGTATGGTGGAAATCACCTGATACCAAAATTTGGATACTTTTTCTCAGTGGATAAGTGCCTTTGGCCTTTCTAGTAAATTCTTCTCCTTAGCATTAGCTTGCCTGAGTATTTATTTGTTTCTTGGAGATGATGCTGTAAGCACCAGAACAGTGCTCTGCCTTAGCTTTCTAGCTCAAAGACAGCTTTTATGTTAGAAGCTGTGAGGTGTGATTTGGCAGAGAAGCCTAGCAGGAGCAATTATCTGCATGGTTTATGATCATCTCTGTTCAGAGTCTGCTAGATAAAAGTATTACTGAAAAAAGTCATGCTAAGGGGATACCCAGATTCACTTGATTTTTTTTTTCCAAAGTGTAACTTGACAATGTTTTGCTGTTGCCTTTTTTAACTTCTTTTTTTACTTGTTTGTTTGTGTTGCTGGTATTATTTGTCCTGCTAGTTCACTTTCTTACTTTGAGATTTGAACGTAGCTGAAATTTTTTCACAGTGGGGACCTGGAACATGATGAGCTACTCTGAAGCTGGTAGAGAAACTCCCAATTTGATATCACTTGAATCAGTGAAAGGCTTTTCATTTACTTCAATAGCACTAGGATCAGCCTAGGAGTCCTAGATAATTGATCTGTCAAGATCAATTTCCAATCTCTCTGAAAAATAAATATAATGATTTTTACACAGTTCTATTTCTCAGTTCTAACTCTCAGCACTCAAAAAATCTGTATCTTAATATACAGTAGGGACTATATTTCATTAAAAATCAGGAGGCACTTAAATTTACTCAATTTGACAAAAAGAACTCTTGCTGCTGAAATAAGATATAAATTAATATTACAGGCACTTCTGATTAGAAATTAATCTACTTTTTTATAATTGCAGTCGGAATTTGATAAATGCATACAATAGTGTATTGAGCACTCAAAAGACATCATTTGAAAGGACAACTTCAAAGGCAACCTGCCTAATATGTTTCTTTAAAAGAAACCCAAACAACCTGTCATTTTCCAAATGAGTGCTGCTGGTTATTCTTACACCAGAATACTCAGGAATAAGAAGCTGTTTGGTTTTGGAGCAAGGATTTGCAGAAATGTGGAAGAGAAACCCTTTCTTGCTTACGCTGGACCATATATGTGAATGAAGTTTTCTGTATTTTACTGGTGATTCGTTTTGATGTCCTGATGAGCTGTCTGATTGCTGTAATTTTGTCACGTCAATTAGGTGGTGTTCAGTGTTGAAGAGCAAAAGAAAGGGACAGCCTGGGCTGACACCATCATTAGGTGTCAGCATCTTAGGCTCATCCTGTAATACAATCCCTGAGTGATCACTTATCATTCTTAACACCTGACAAAGAAAAAAGAATTGTGGAAGAAAAGTAAACCAGCAATACACCACGAGTGCAAAGAGACTTCCTTTGCACAGAAATGGATCATTTTGTTGTACCTAATTACATTGTCTGAGATTCTGTTGCAGGTTACTGTTTCAAGGGCCAGTTTGACTATGTGTTGTCTGCTTGCTCACACACAGAAGCATCGTTTTGTTCCTTCTCTCACCTGGTTCCTCTTTTTGTCTTGTCCTCTCCCACAGAAACTAGATGAAGAGAGCGAGGCAAACTTGCTAGCTGTTCTCACAGAAACACTGGACAGCATCCCTGTGGATGAGGATGGATTGCCTTCCTTTGATGCACTGACAGATGGAGATGTGACCAACGAAAATGCCGCTAGCCCCTCCCCAGTGCCCGACGGCGCCCCTCCAACTCAGGAGGCAGAAGAGCCGTCTCTAGTAAGAACCCTTCCTACTGTTTAACAGGAATTGGATGTGCCTCTGGCTACCCGCTGCATGGGTATGATGTAGTCACAGTAAGGTCTGGACTTTTCATTTAGACTGGAGAGGAAAATCAAGTAAAGAACTGAAAATTAAGCGGGGGAAACCCCCCCACCAAATAGCCATAGGATGATTAATATGGCAGTCTATTAAAAAGTTGTTGAAAAGGTTGTTTTTGAAACTCCTGCGCTAATGGGGCTGACACTTTTGCTTATCATTCTGTTCAAATAAGTCGGGGTAATGGGTCTTAACTCGTATTTCATTTCTCGGGGCGCTTTTTGTTGTGTATGTTTAGACATCATTTTTGGTGATCTCTGAAGAAAGGCCCAATGATTCTGTTGGAATGCAGTGCTGATTTTGTGTCTTTAACATTGATTTGACCAGTAAGCACCAGCTTAGTGCTAACCAGGGCAGAACTGAATCTTGGATGAGGATGTGGGTGAAACATTATATGCATTTTGCTTAGTAAAACTGGTTTGTGATGTGATTCTGTTTCTGCTGAAAGCCTCTTATCACTGGCTTCAGTGGGAGCAGGGCCAGATGCCTGAATCTTGACACCATATCCATTAGTCTGTTAAAGTTTATGTCTCTGTATAGATCAGAGGCCTCTTCATGTCAAACAGATCACTGAGAATTTCGTTTTGCCATGGATTCAGAAATCCAAGATCCCTGTCACTTCTGCTTGCCCTGCAGTATGCTGCAGTAAAGGGAGCAGAAATGTGCTGCCAAGCCAGAAGAAAATGAAGTCTGTTTACTCTGAGGAATATCAAGTCCTGCTTTTTGTCTTACTGTACTTTGCTTGCTGAAATTGATATAACTAACTTTAAGTAACTATGCAAAATTGTAGATAAGTCACTTTAATTGATAAAATTTATAACTTTACTCTTTTCCTTCCACTTCCCTTTCCCTCATGTGTTTGTAGCTTAAGAAGCTCTTGCTGGCTCCAGCCAACACTCAGCTAAATTACAATGAATGCAGTGGTCTCAGCACACAAAACCATGCAAACACTAATCACAGGATCAGAACAAGCCCTGTGGTTGTTAAGGTACAAACTTAATTTTTATAATAAGGAAAAAAAGAATGTGTAATAAGGTCTTTTATGCTTTTAGCAATCAAGCAAGGAGTAGATCTGAATATATTGTATGTGCTTATTATCTTCTAACTAATTTTTTAAAAATGTGAGCTGTAGACTGGGTTCCAGAAAATCATCTGAGCTCTTTTATGCTCTGAATATTGCATTTATGCCCCTTCTCTTGGCAGAGTTCAGATGTAGTCATACCGTCTGTTGCTCTTACCTACTTCACTGATACACAGAGTAGGATGGGGTGTGATAAAATTTGCTGATGGTCTGGTGTTGTTTATGAGTGACTCCACAATGTGGGACTGCCATTTCCCCAGCTGTCTGAGCTAAGACAAATGACACTGGATTCTTGGCAAAAGATGTATATTAGACATTGATTGGATGGAATGGGGGTTTAGACATAATTCTGTTAGCAGGCAGTATTAAACAATGTTTGTCTTGCCGTTCAGTGTAACTGAAAACGGGCCATTTAGGGGTACTTAAGAGAGTTGTGAATACTGGGCCCAAGCAATCAGCAGCAAATTAAGGTTTAAACCAGCTTATTTTTTTGTTCACACTAAAGGCGCTGTAGGGTCTTGTTAGTTACATGTTGCTGAGTAAGAACATTGCAATGTAGAAGAAATGAAATAAAAAGCTGCATAAATGTCATTTAGGAATTTTAAATGTAATTTTCTTTCCTTGTTCTGCAAACAGTTATTCACAGCTCATAGATCTAGTACACTTAGGCTGAACACTTCATTGAGAATCTCATCTCTTCAGAAAACCTATATCCATTCTGATAAGGTTCAGCTCACTAATTTTAGCTTTACTTTATTTTATTTTATTATTTTATTTCATTTTATTTTACTCTGTTTTAAGACTGAGAATTCATGGAGCAATAAAGCGAAGAGCATTTGTCAACAGCAAAAGCCTCAAAGACGTCCCTGCTCTGAACTTCTCAAATATCTGACTACGAATGATGATCCTCCTCAGACCAAACCAGCAGAGAACAGGAACAGCAGCAAAGAGAAATGCACCTCCAAAAGGAAGCCCCATCTGCAGTCTCAGACAAATCATCTGCAGGGTAGGTGTGGGACTGCAGAATACAGCTTTGGAACCAGCAGTAACGCTGGGAAGCTGAAGTACCATGGTTGGGAATACCTCAATACTTCTTCTGTTCTTTGGATTAGTATTGGAAATCCAGCATCTCTTCTGTGTAAAGAGAATTTTAAAACAGTATAATGAAGTTTTAAAACAGTATAGTGAAGTTAGAATTAGTTAGCTAGCTGGAGATACTTATTCACAGAGAACTGTACCACTAAGAAATCATTATACCCCTAAACAAGTTCGGCAGGCCAGTTCATTAGTGAGCTTCTTTCTGTTTTGCTGGAGTACAACTGAGGGCATTGTTAACCTGCCACATAGCCCGTAAGATACAATAAATAGTGCTCTCACTGCTACAGAGAAAACAATAAATGTGTCATTCCTGTTAAAGCTGGAATGCTGGTTTGTAATTTTATTTTGTAAATAGTTGAAAGTTTAGATGCCATCCTGATCTTTCTCTCTCATTTTTGGATTTTTTATGGTCAAAATTAAACACTTGTGTTGACTTTTAGTATCCCCTGATGTGTGAAAAACTGGTCTATATTACAAGTAGCTTCTGTGACAGATATGCAAGAACTTAAAGCCTCTCACTTTCTCTCCCTCTCTTTTCCACGACAAGGGAAAGCTGTAAAAGCTTACGAACCCAAAGGGAGCTTTTTAAAATTATTGCTACTTTAAAATACATCTATGTATTTATGTTGACCTGACATCTGGAAGGCTATGTGCCTATCTCAGACACATCAGTGCCAATCATGGATGCCCCCACTAAAGTCAATGGAAGTTGCCTGTCTGCAGCAGAGATCAGGTTGTGACCCTAAATGTGTTGTTTGGTATTTTCAAAGCAACAGTTGTAAACTGTATGTCATTTCAGCCTCTGTCAAATCTGTTTTCTAATTCTGCACTAGGAAGTATAAGCAAACTTAATGAAAATAATCTTCCCTTCCTGTCACTTAATATTGTTCTTGCAGCTGTACATTCTGACATCCTAAGCATGGGTTTTCTCCATTATGGTCTCAAATTATCTGAACAATATTTCTCATAAGAAGGAAATCCAGCTGCCCCTAAAACTTCTTTATGCCAACTGCTACTTCTTCTGGGTGGCTTCAGCAGTCTGCTTTCAGAGCAGAATCCAGACTGAGCTCTACATGTGAAACTTGAGTCTGTTACTGCAATGGTAATGAAAAGCAGAACTGTCAGAAGTTACAGGGAGCTTTATCAACACTGTTGGATGTTAAGGTGATAAGGTGCATCATGTATAACATGCTCTATGAACATATATGTTATACCCATACAGAGATGTGTGTGCACACAAACATACATACAGATTATAAAGTCTTTCTGTTCAGATCAGAACTGCTTTTTTCCCCCCAGCTAAGCAATTGTGTAGATTCAGTTCAAAGAGTCTGGGCACACTGAGCTGTGGAAACAGCATGGAGGAGAAGTTAGGAAAGTCCAAAGATACATATAGCTAACAACTGTGCTTAACAGATGACTGTGATTTTTGTGGTCTTGCAGGTGAATTTGCAGGCACAGAGAAATTACCTTCTTTAATTTTCCTGTTTAATTTACTGGTTTCTGAAATGTTTTTTCAGCAAATTTGCCTCATACACCAATATATAACTTCAATATCAATGGATTTGCATATAATGCAAATACAAGAATATAATGCTTTCAGCTTGGACAGTCAATTCATGCAGAATCAACCTTGCAAATTTAACTGATATTTGCAGACCTGCAGTCATTGGTTCATAGATTTAATCAAAAGTACAAGAAAATTGGCTCCTTCTGTTTTAAAAAACTATCACAGATAGTTTTCTGAGATTTTCTTTCAAATTTAGGGAAAGCTCACAAAGGATAAGTCAAATGTTATTTTCCTTTAGGGATACTGTTGCAAACATATTGCAAACCCACGGGAATGTCCACAAATGCATTCATGCCAAAGATCATCTGTGGTTTTGCACTGAAATTTGCCCATGAGGAAATGTAGTTCTTTTGAACCTGAATGTTTTCAATTTACAGGGACAAGCAACTTAATTGAACTCTTAAGTGACTCTTCACTTAAGTGAACTCTTTTTAATAAAAGTGAACTCTTTTTAATAAAAAAAATCCCCACACTACAGTAGACCTTAAAACTAATAAACAGACACCACGGAAAATGACAGTGTCTTGGCTAAATATTTACACTGTCAATAGCTGTATGTGAGTATGAATCCTTTGCAGAAAGAGTGTTTGGTCAAGCTCTTGTCTAGCAATAAGAAAACTGATGGGTGTTTTGGTATGTGAAATTCTCAGTGGGAGAACTCAGTGATATCTGCCTAAAATTAATACATGGGAGTGTGAGATAATGCCTTGGTTCTGTGCCCATCTCTGGCAGATTTGCACTGTGCCTCAGTGCTTCAGAATTTAATATGTGTATATTCTGATGTGGGATTATTCTGTAGGACTAATAAGAGTTAGAAAGAGACTTTTTAGAGATGTAAATAGCTCTTACACATTCAGTTTCCTTAGCCTAAATTGGTTAAGAGTGTGCAGATTTTTATTTAAAAAAAAAAAAAAAAAGGAAAGCCTTTGTATAAAACTTTATTCCAGAGCCTTGCTGCAAGATCTGCTTTTTTTAAAGCCAGTTTTACCTCTAGGTAGCCACAGGCAAACATTAGTATTCCTAGATATATATAAATTACACACAAAGATGTGTCAGGTTATATTCAGTTTTACTGCACCTGGTGTAATGCACAAATCGGTGGCTGTGCTGGACCAGACAAATAACTCATTGAGGTGCATCTCCTCACTCCAGCAGTGACTTCTGAGGAAGGTGAACCTGAGGTGAACACCTGAGCGTCCATTTCTCATAGGGGAGGAGAAGAAACAATATGCAGCTTTTGAGAATTAATTTTTGAAAACGTTATATTACTTCAGGAATGCTCTAGAGCATATAAAAGTAATCAATTTGCATATAAAATCCCTTAATGTTGATGGGAGCTCCAAGCCTGTAATGAATATGAAATATGCAGTAGTGACACTCTGGACAAAAGATCTGCAGTGCAGGAGTGTTCAAGGGGAACATTTTGTCTTAAGTAATTAATCTGCAGAAGAAATCCCCTGCTGTTGTTCTTGCTACAATGCTCTCTGTGTTTAAAACATCAATCTGACTTCTGAAAAGTAAAATTTGCAAGTACTATAATTTTTAATTTTAAAGGCATCTTAGTTGTATTACAACATCCTGGTTCTTGGCTTGCTCTGAGAAAATACAATTTTGCATGAGTAAAAGCTGCAAAGACTTACATTTTTATAGCCAGAGCTTTGTTTTTTGCGTATGTCGGGATTGTAGTGCTGAGAGCTTCAACCCCATTTTTAACCATCTGTGACTATGTCCATGGTTTGTCATAGTTTGCAGCATAATTTGCAAAAATTTGGACTATAACTGGTTGGACTCTGGCCTCATAGAAACAACCTATTCTCACTGCTGTATATAAAATTGTATCTTGTAGAAGTAAAATTAACTGAATATTCATAACGTTCTGTTACTTTGTAGTTATTCTGCTGCTCCTGTTTCCAAATAAAACGTGAACTGTAGTCGAAATGAACACTGAGAGAAGTAACATTTTCACAGTGTATCCTGTAGAGTTCTTCATTGATTTTTAACATGTACCACTCTTCTTCTGAAAGGTTCTTGTAATTTGCATTGTGTACTGTATTTCAGAGGTACAGTAGTTGATGTAAATAATTGTTGAAATTTAGGTGCCCTTTTGGTACTAGTAAATAAAGAATCAGGATGAGTCTCTTTATCTATCTGAGATACACTGAAATGACAATTGAACTATCAGAGCTTGGCCCTAACTGACTACCACATGATCCCAGTGCCAAAGTATAAAGAAATGTTTACAGTGTACTTTACAGAGTGTTTAAATATTGTTTTCTTTTTTTCTTTTAATATTGTTTTCTTTTTTCCTTTAGCCAAACCAACAAGTTTATCACTTCCATTGACACCCGAGTCACCAAAGTAAGTACTAAAAAGTGCAAACATTTATAAAAGGGAGGGGGATTCAGTAGATTTTGGCTACAGCAACTCCATTTCAGCTTGTTTTTATAAATGTGCCCTGTCTTCCAGTGATCCCAAGGGTTCCCCATTTGAGAACAAGACTATTGAACAAACCTTAAGTGTGGAACTCTCTGGAACTGCAGGTGAGAAATGAAAAATGATGGCTCTTCCTTTAAGCATGGCTTGTGTGTGTTTGTTTACTTTAATATACCACAGGTATGCTGAGATCTCACAGAAGTCTCCAGTAGATTCATTTCAGTGCAGTTCAGCATTACTTTTTTATCCAGCTACCTGAGAAGAAAGATATTTGAAAATACGGCTCCGAACCTACACAGGAGAGCATAATTTCTGAGAAAATATGAATGAAACCATTTATCTGTTATATTTCTTCATTTTCCATAGATTTGTGCATTGCTGAGCACCATCTTTCAAAGACAAGCTCCACAGCATGGTGTAATAGATGTTACAGGTGTAAAAGTTATGTCATTCAGTTTATCTCCAGGCTGGTCTAGGGCTGCACATGGCTGCATGTTTCAGTGCTTTGTCATTTCTAGATTAACACGTCACAAATAACAGCTTACTCCTCTACCACTGAACAGCTAATCGTTCCATAGCTTAGAGGTAATTTTTAAAAGTGGTATTCATTTTGTATTCCTGCTTTTTCTTTTTCTTCCATTAACACACTTCACACGACCTCCCTTTATCTTCCTCCTCCTTTCTGATCCCTGGATTTGTACCTTTTGAAGATTTGTAGGATTTTTTTTATCATGTAGTGGTTTAGTTCGTGCATCGCCCATTTAATAATTCATTTAATTCATCTACTCTTCTTTCTGCTGAAGTCAATTCCTTCAGACTCAGATCTGTTTTATGGCTTTCCTCTGAACTCTGTTTTGCCTCTGTTTTCTTCAAATGTTCAGAGCCGAGCACAAAAGAACACATTGAGCTCCACCTGAGCTATTGCCAAGACCATTTTCTTTCTCAGTTGTGTAATATTGAAAAATAAGAGATGTACTCGGCATGTGCTTCTCTCAGGATAGCAGTAGGTTGTAAACTATCTGATCTCTAGCATTGAGGGGGAAGGGGTGTATTGCAAAATATGTCTTCGGGTACCACAAATTAGCTTGATGCTCCTGAATTCAGTGGCAGCAGGCCCAGGCTGGGTTTGGATAGGTACACTGGGTTTTCACCTTCCTACAACCATCATTGTACTTTTCCAGAAGCTTTTTCATTAGTTCAGCACTAAAACATGAACACTTTTCCCTGCTGTCTCCGGGAAGCCTGCAGCCTTAATCATTCCTCTCATGGCAAAAGGAAGCGTTCTTCCTACACATCTTCATTTTGCCAGACCAACATAAACATGGCAAAATTCACTGTATGCAGGAGGATTGTTCAGTGCCAATGAGTGAAGTGAAGTGAAGTGAAGTGAAGCGAAGCGAAGCGAAGCATGGAGAAACCTCTCCATCACTACTGGACAGCAAGTCTGCACAAGGGTGCCCATTTGTAAGCACATGGATAAGTCAATGCTTAGTGCTGCCAAAAGAAAGGGGCAGATGAGGTGACTACAGCAGAGTGGTACAAGCAGCCGTTGAAATCAGTGAAGGAAGCAGTGTTTTCTCCCAGCCAAAAAGTCAGCAGCCTGCTTTTCCCATCAGCTGACTAGACAGAAATTGGGAGTCAGTCTGACCCCTGGATAGTCCTCTAGTATTGCGTTCAGAGTGGCAACAGGAATGGGCTTGGTATTACCAAATTCATTCCGCTCCATCAGCTGTGCACAGAGGAGGAAACAAAACAGCACTGTAGTTGCTTGGAAAACATAATCAGGAGAACTGGTGCATTAAAAAAAAAAAGCAGCAGAAGCTGGGAAACAGCACAACTGGCCACATATGTAAACAGGAATGCTCTACTATGATTCTGTGATTTCTTTTCCCCTCTGGAAGTAAAAGAAGTTAGCTAGGAAATAACCTGATCATATTCAGGGAGAATAAGAATTGGAGTGTTGTGTGGCCAGGGAGCTGGGCAGTGTTACCAAGCAGTGTGCATAATGGTGGCTCTTGGACTTCATGTTGCAGTTGCTCTGGTCTTCACAATGCCTGGTGAGGAGATTTCAGGAGATCATGCAGTAGCTCTTTTAATCTCTGCCTGCATATACACATGGTTTTTATTTTTATATTCATGTATGTATGTAAACCCATAAAAATATGCATGTCTTGCTTTTTAAGTAATTTGTACTGCAGTAGTTTTGTGTCCTGAGTCTGCTTGCGCTGTAAGCAAAGTACATAATAGAAACAACCTGAAGTACTGAAGAACTTACAGCATATGTGTGTGTGCAAATCATGGCAGAATTGGGACCCACTTCAGTTTAAAAAACAACCAAAAATAAAATAAGGAAAAAAGTAGTGGCAGTAGTGATTAATAATATCTTGAAGTTCTTTAGTGAGAACCCTGGCAACTCCAAATTATATCCAGATAACCGCATTGCTCATTGTCCTTATATAGGGCAGCCTGCACCATACAAGCACTATTTATTATAATTTAAATAGGAGTTACCTTGATCTCACTACTGAATTGAAAAGACCATTAGCAGTGCTGCTTGCACTATCGAAGCACAAAGTATTTTAATATAAATAGCAACTCCCTTGATCTCTCTGCTGAAAACAACATTGCTTCCCTCACTGATGAATTAACTATAGAGCAGAAAAATAAATAAATAAAAACATTTCCCACATGAGCCATCAATCTTCGTCACACACATATTTTGGATTCGTGTGTCTGAAGTCAAACTGAAGCCATTCTCTTGCCAGTGCTATATCTTGCTTTACAACAGATTTGTTAGTGGTTATGAGCGTAACTTTGTCCTCCCTAAAACTGTCAAAACATCGATTTGTCAAATTACAAGGAACAAATATTCTTTGAAGTGTTTTCATGCCACACATAAGAATTCTTTCAATACACTTTAAGTAAGTGTCCTAAGTCCATTGGTGTATAAAGTCCTGTCTCTTGAAGCTGATTATTCTCGTGTTATTCTAAAGAAGCTGGACCAGAACATCATGATATGGAGGGAGTCCTAGGTGATGATAATGCAGTGAATGAAATTCCTGTGTCAGATGAGTCTTCTGAGTAAGAGACTCAGAAGAGGTGCATCTCTGTTTCCACAGCCATCTGCACTACCAGTGCCTTGCTAAGAGGCTGTGGACTTGAACCTCTCCAGTGTCTTCCAGAAATCTGGGATGGTTCTGTGTCACCTCTTTCCTCTTTATTGGCAGTCAGAATGACGGGGGAGGTTCAGGTGGGGATGGACTGTGGACTGTGGAAGCACAGGGGCTGGGAGGATGGCTTACATTCTGGAGGTGGCAGTGTTACTCTTGGCAGTCAAGGGCTCCTCAGTGATTGTTTTAGACTTTTGATTGTCTTAGACAAACTTCTGAATGCCAGATGTTAGATAGCATGGCTTCTAAGTAATCTCTCTCTGTTCCCTGTGTCTTAAACCTTCACACCTAAATACTCAAAGCCACCATTTATGTACATGAAGTTGGTTTACGTGCTTATGGCTCAATCAGTAACTAGAAGACTATTTCCACACTCTTGGTAAAAAGTCTCTAATTTGATACAGATCCCTATAATTTATTGTAGTGTAAAACTGCTCACTGGTCTTGGGGGAAAAATTTGATTTTTCTGAAAAGATATCAGAAGAAGCTATATTTTCTGTCATCAGAAAAGCTGATGTGGACAATCAAGTTGAAGAGTGGTTTGGAATTTGACCATCGTTGAAGATACTGATACCCTGCTATTTGCCCACCTCTAGATTTGTGTTACCTCTTACTTGTCAGAACAAATACTTAAAATCTGTCATCTAAGAACTTCTTCGACCTCAGAATGATTTCTGATAAAATGAGATGTGAGATGGAGAGAGTTGTCCAGAGGGAATAAAATCTAGTGAATTACTTGATGTTTTCAGGCATCTGTGTTTATTCTCTCCAGCACTGACAATAGGATTAAACAGAATATTCAACAAACATGTAGTTTTTTATTATATGATGACTATTTAATTTTATTACATTTTCCTAGCTTCTGCAATCTAGTGCCATACAAACACTCCTTCTACTGAATTGAGCTGTTATCTTGTGGTCAGTTTTTAAAGTGGCCTTAAATAATGTTTCCCTTGACAATCCATTTTCAAACTCAAAAGGTATGAAAGAATTCATTTTCAGTGCCTCTCAAAAGCATATGTAGAAAGGTTCCAAGGCTGCATTCCCCAAAATACACTGATTATCAGCCCACTCAAAACAAAGCAAACGTCAGCAAACATTGGAACGCTGAGTTACCGAAGAGATTTAGAAATATCTGTGTCTACGTAAAACAGTATTGAAAATCAGTCCTAAGTCAGAAGTCCAGATGTCACTTTTAATGCAAAGGCACTCCCCTAATTTCTGCTTATCAGCCTAGCTGAGCTAAATGAGTTACACTACAAGTTTTTTTGGAGTGGAGTTTTGGAGTGGAATGTATCAAAAGTAGTTTCACCCTCCCAGAGATTTTCTGGAAAGAAGTTGCTTGGCCAAGGTGGCAGAGTTGGCACATATGGAAACACCTTTTGTTGCACGAGGAGGATGGTGCTGCTTTGGCAGCAGTGCTGGCAATTTGATATATGCTGTTTTCTAGCAAAAGATCACGGAGCGAGCTCGTAGTATATAGACAGAGCAAGGCAAAGTGCAAATGTACCATTTACCAAAGCTATTCAATTAAGGAAAAGTCCCTACAAAGAAAATGGTTTTATAGCATGTCACGAAAAAATACTTGCCTTTTACTTTAAAAAGAAAAAAGACTGTTTAAGGGGGATGATTGTAGAGTATGTACCACTTCTAACAGATTTGCTGTGCAGAAGTACATAAGTGTGAGTGATGTAGAGGTACTTGTTTATTATAGAGCACATTTCAATGCAGTAATCATAAATATTGCTAAGGTTGTGCTCTGTTGAAATATGACCTACATACTCTTGATTGTTTGTGTTACGTGATTTGTCTGACACCCATTACATTCTGGGTAATGGCAGCCATTTGTTGCTGTGCACAGCAGGCTCTTTTGACAAAAGAAAATAGGCAGCAATAAAAAAGCTATAGTCTGAATTACATTCTGCACAGCGCTGCACTGCTGAGAGTTTGTGCAAGTGTGTTAACAATGCTCTGAACTGCCTCTTGTCAGCCTTCAGCCTGTAATGGCCATCTGTCCTTCCATAAATCTGTCAAAACCTGCTAAGTTCAAGAGAGGGTACAGAATATACCTTGTACTGTCAATGCCCAAATGTACACATTGGGGAGAAATCAGTGCGTGTGAAATAATCCCGTGGTTAGAGAATATTGTAATGCCGTTGATGTGGGATCATGGCCCTCGGTGAAGATTACCAAGGATTACAGTGACGATGAACAAGTGTGCAGCCAACTGGTTTTCTCAGAATTCAAAATTTGGAGATGGGTCAGGGGGCACTCTGGAGGTGGACTTGGAGTGCTGACGTGCATTCAAAACTTCACTCCCTCCTCCATCGCCCAGTGTAGGTTTGTTCAAAAGTTAAATGAACATTTTCCATCTTTTATCTGTTTCTACTTGCCTGTGCACTTCCTGCTTCTGCTAAAATCCAGGAAAAAAGCCAGGATGCCATGAGGAAGCCCTTTCTTAGGCTGTCCCAGCCCTGTTCTGCCAGCAAGGGAAGTGCCAGTAAATTTAGCTCAGGCTGTACTTTCGTGAGGGGTTTTTTTTGGTGTTCCCTGCCCCCCCCCCCCCCCCCCCCCCCCCGCCTTTCTGAAGATTATTGGGCTCTTTCTCAGGTTTCTGGAAATGTTATACTTGTTTTACTTGCTTATTTCCAGGACAAGCTTTAAAGAAGTGGAATTTGAAATAAGATTTTATTTTGAATATTGGATTATCTCTGGGTTTTCTTTGCCTGAAATTTTTAAATATGCATGGTCATTGTGGAGTGGTTGTATTTTTAATTCTTTCTTTAAAAGTACAACCAAAAATCCAGTAACTTAACCCCAGAATTTCTCATGGACTGTATAATTTCACAAGTAAAAGTGAAACTTTAACTTTTTTTTAGAAAGTTCTTTACTGAAGTATTTGTTCAATCTGAGCCTGAAGCTTTAACTTTGAAAGTATTACTACAGATATTTGAATAGGACCATTCTCTTTAATTTTAGCAAAAATTCAGATAGTCAAAAATATTTGTCAGTGAGGAGGTGCCTAAGGTAAGAAATAATTAGGGCTGTCTCAAGTGACTGTTTGGGAAGAAGAAAGAAAAAAATGGAGGACTTAGAGGAAATAATTGAACAGTAATGATTGCACAAAATTTTTTTTTAGTATTAAATTTAAATTTGGGGTAACTAATGTTTTATGTGCCATAATCTTTACCTCAGTTTCCTTGAATTTTGTGGCATTAGGCAAAGTATTTGCATAGCCATGGGTAGCTCATAAACATTTTTTCCAAACATTCATAAAAAATCAAGCATGTCTCTCACATCAAGTATTCATGCCTTGGTACTTCTATTTTCTTATTTTCTGAAATAAAGTCATTGCAGATAATGCAATGGGACTCCCAGTCTCCATTTATGCTCCTTAGGGAGCACTGTGCATTGATGGATGCTTTTCCTTCTTTGCAGCAAAACACTGTAAAACATGTTCCATTTGCATTGATCTGTTGAGCTGTGTTGCTTGTGTAAAAATACAAACCAGAGCTCTATAACCATGTTTGAAACACACTTCCTGTAACTCTGTCTGCCCTCTCTTTTCATTCTTGCTTAAGAACTAACGGAAAGCTCATTGCTTGGGCTAAAAATACTCTTGGACAGCATGAGCCTCTGGATTTCTTAGTCTGGATTGCTTGGTCTGGGTTACCTTGGAGAACTCCCTAATCTTCATCTATTTAGTTAAATTTTAAGCATATATTACTAAATTATATTAGTGTCAATTGGACAGAAGCAAATTTTTCAAACCTAACATACTAAGTACCTTCCTGAAGAGAAATTATTTCCTCAACAGTGTTTGCTGTTTGCTATTACTCTGCCCTGATGTCTGGGATTATCCTTCTGTAATTCTGAAATTCTATGATTTCTGTAGAAAATATTGAAAGTTATACTCCGCCCTTATAAAAATAGTGGGAAGATGCTGATTCAGTTCCCAGGCTTTACTGGAATGTGCTGTAGTCCTTCCTGCAATTTGTCTCATCACAGTGATACAATCTATTGCAGTTCTGTAAATAATCCTGTTAGTTAGCAGTATATTTAGTCATTGAATACTAATCTAATACTAATGCGAACCTAATAACTAATACTAAGACTTACCTGTTTCATTTTGACTCCCTACTGCATGATTCTCACCAAGATGTAGTTCTAAATGCAAGGGTTCCTTACACTTGTGGTTGTATTATTGTTCATTTGGGTTTCAGTTGCAGAACCACATTTCAGGCAAAATGTATTAATTATGCTCAAGGAGTGTATTAGACATATATTCTCAATGTTTTTTTAAGTTAATGAACTCTGGAAACAAAAAGTCATTGCCACTGAGTTAGGGTGGCTGTATTTCATTGCGTTTAAATTCTGCATCCTTTGGTACCACTCATTTATTTCTGTTGGCTGTGCTTTTATCCAGATTCTTCTTTGCCAGGTTCTTTATGTTTTTGATGGTGCCAGTCTTTTGACTTTTCATTTTTACATCAAAATCTATTTTGTATTTAACAAAAACGTCTTTGTTGTTTTATCTCTTGATCTTTTCTATCAAAACCTACAGAGAGAGGGGCGGATGTCGTGGAGGAAGGGGAGGGGCAGAAATTATGCTGGAGACTGATGGCAATGCATTAGTATTGTTGCTATTGTTGTTACCAGACCTTGGTAGTTTTATTCTCAATATTGGCAGTGTTGAAGTGACATAAAATGGGTCTTGCTTTGTATCTATTTTAAGAAGCATATGAGCCATCTTTTATAAACATTGTATGTGTGCTTAAAAGCATTCTGTACCTCCTTTTACTCCCTGTAGGCCTAACTCCACCTACGACCCCTCCTCATAAAGCCAACCAAGATAATCCTTTTAGGACTTCACCTAAACTGAAGTCATCATGCAAGACTGTTGTACCACCTTCAAAAAAGCCCCGCTATAGTGAGTCTTCCGGTTCTCCAGGAAATAACCCAATCAAGAAGGGTCCAGACCAGTCTGAGCTGTGCACACAGCTTAGCAAGACTACAGTACTGTCCAGTGGACATGAGGCGAGAAAGACAAAACGGCCCAGTTTGCGGCTGTTTGGTGACCATGACTACTGTCAATCTGTGAATTCAAAATCGGAAATACACATTAAAATATCCCAGGAACTTCAGGACTCCAGACAACCAGAATTTAAGGATTCTTCACCTGGGTGGCAGTGTCAGATTTGTTCTTCTTTAGAACAAGACCAGTATTTCAAGAAAGAGACTTTACAGACAAATAAGCAGGGATCCCATGGTAATAACAGAAAACAGCTCCAAGACCAGGAAATTCGGGCTGAACTGAATAAGCATTTTGGTCACCCCAGCCAAGCTGTTTTTGATGAAGAAGCAGATAAGAGCAGAGAACTAAGGGACAGTGATTACAGTAATGAACAATTCTCCAAACTACCTATGTTTATAAATTCAGGACTAGCAATGGATGGTCTGTTTGATGACAGTGAAGATGAAAGTGATAAACTATGCTACCCTTGGGATGGGACACAAGCCTATTCATTATTTGATGAATCACCTTCTTGCTCTTCTTTTAACTCTCCATGCAGAGATTCAGTGTCTCCACCCAAATCCTTATTTTCTCAAAGATCCCAAAGGACACGCTCTAGATCAAGGTCCTTTCCTCAACGCAGGTCTTGTTCCCGTTCTCCATATTCCCGATCGAGATCAAGGTCGCCCTGTAGTAGATCCTCTTCAAGGTATGGTACAGCAAATTCATGTATGATCATTGTAGCTAATAAGATAAACAGCAAAAACAGTAAGAAACTTACGGGAAAGAAAGAAAAAAAAGCAAGAAATAACTTAATCCAGTGCAACTCATTCTATTGCTCCTGAGCTGATTAACTCTGAAGGTTACAGGTTTGCTACAGAAACACTTGTTTCCAATATCCTTTGAATTTGCCAGGTTTATACCTTCTGAGTGGAGGCAGTCAGGTCAGAGGCAGTCAGGTCAGAGGCACTGATGAGAGATGTACACAACTAACCTACCCCATTATCTGTGAGCTGCCTGGTGCCAGTCTTGCTACGGCCTCTGTCAGATGGAGTTGACAATGGCTGACTGTCTGCTCTGTGTTAGCCTCAATAAGGAAAATTACTGAAGGGCCAGGAGGGGAGAAATCACTTGAAGCCCCTTAGTTGACTAGGAGATTGCAAACTGTCACTGGAAAATCCCACCGGTAGCTTAGAAGAAATTGTAAGTTCAGGGAAGAGGTAGAAAATGGTGTCAGTAGACTCAAATGGAATGACAGAGGTGAATGTGTTTCTTCCTGCAGATCTTGTTGCAATTGTGAGTCCAGCCACTGTAGACACCAAGCATACAGAAGTTCTCCCTTAGGTGGAAGATCGCGGTCCAGATCACCGTACAGTCGCAGACCCAGGTAGTGCCTTCGGCCTGCATTTGGTATGCTTTGCAGCTGCTCCTCAGGAGATAACTGTAGAATCATTAAGGCTGGAAAAGACCTCTGAGTTCGTTGAGTCCAACCTTTGGCTAAACACCACATCACCTAAACCATAGCATGTCCACTCATTTCTTGGACACTTCCAGGGATGGTGACTTCACCAATTCCCTAGGCAGCCCATTCCAATGCCTAACCACTCTTCCACTGAAGAAATTCTTCCTGGTGTCCAACCTGAACCTCCTCTGGTGGAGTTAGAAGCCATTTCCTCTAGTCCTTTCTCTAACTGCCTGGGATAGTAAAGCATTCCAGACATTGTATTTTGATTTTATATTCACAAATGCAGGTGCTTGATTTGATGACGAAGTTGTGTTTCCTAGATATGACAGCTATGAGGAATATCAGCATGAAAGGCTGAAGAGGGAAGAATACCGCAAAGAGTATGAAAAACGGGAATCTGAAAGGGCCAAGCAAAGAGAGAGACAGAGGCAGAAAGCAATTGTAAGCACTATAAAGATAACTTTCATATTGAAATAGATCTCTGTTTCTTTTCATGGATTCTAATGCTCGAATTCAGACTTTATTTCTTTTTTATAAAAATACAAAAATTTACGTGTATTTCTTAATATTTTTCATTTTTAGCAAATACGTGTTTTCATGATAATTTCTGTTTTGGTGTGACACTACTAATTTTTTCAGGTTCTGTAAATTGCAACACTCCAAGTTTTTCACACTGAACAGATAAGAGAACTTACTAGAGAAAGAGGTCATCCCAGACAGTAGACTAGTAGAAGAGAACTAATCTATTTCTTATACAGATGTATGAGTGAACCTGCCTTTTATACTGTATTTCACCTACCAGACATATGCAAAATAAGGAGTCAGGTGATAAACCAATTGCTAAACTCTCAGAGAGGCTGTAATTGTCTGTACAGAGGGTACAGGCAATAGAACTCAAAACTGGGATCCAAAGACTTGGCTTGAATTATGTTTTTTTTCAGTGTCTGTGATTTGGTTAATTTTTTAGGTTTTTTTTAGCAAAATAGTCTGAAGACAAGATGCAATTTAAAAATGTCACTTAGCACTGGCTCTCTCATAATGAATATGTATTATTTAATTATTTTGTTCATCAGAGGTCTCTATGAAACATCTGAAATTCCTGAATCAAAGAAAATAACCCATGTGGGGATAAGCAACTCTCTTGGCTGTTGTAGCAGTAGGACAGAAGGAAGAATGGCTATTAAATGGATGGGTGGCTTTTTCCCCTTTTGAGTTCCCCATTGGCAACTGCATTTTGATAAATTAAACTGGGAGCTGCTGTAAATCAGTTGCTGTAAAAGTTGCTAAGCCCATTTGGTGGCTCACCTTAACATTTTGATTTTCTCTGTCCTGCTCTTTCCATTCGGTTGTACCTGCACGGCTGTTCCGGCTGTGCTCTGGCTCTTGCATGACCTGGTACAGACCAGGATACTTCATCTTTGTTCTCAGGTTTTCCATTAGTGCTCTGTCCAGAGGTCACCAAAATTAATAGGTCTTTTTCCCAGTGACATTAGTGGACTTTGTAGCAAAAGGTGATTTGTCACACACTTGGCAGCATTTCCCCTAATGCACCTACAGAACCAGGAGTTTGTAGAGATTGACAGAGACTGGCGTAGTCTACAGCAATGAGGAGTTCTGGGAGTGAATAGACAACTTTATGGTCTGTTTTTTGTCTCTGTTGTTCTCAGTGAGCTTCAGCAAATCATTTCACTTTTCTCCATTTCACTGTCTACAAAGTGTGGGTGATAGGTGTATTTTGTAAAGCACAAGATTTAGAACTATAACATGCTCTGCTGTGCTGCTCTGAAGCACAGTGACGGCAGTAGAATAATTTTGTTTGGCTTCAGACAGGGCCGTATTTAAGTCAATTGTTGCAGTTAGTTTAAAATATCTGGCTTCCATCTGCTTAGAGATGAACGCTACCTTCCAGCAATCATAACTTACACTTGCTGTTCTCTCTTAGAGCTACCACAAATTAGAGATTCAAGTAGACTTCTGTCATGGGTGTATCTTGCTACTTCTCAATTACTGTACCTTACCCGTATAAATAAACATGAACCCTGCTGAGGAGGTAGAAAATTTGATTTAGTTTAAAACAAACAAATATTTGGTAAGTACCTAATCAAGAGAAAAGGAAAAAGGAAAGAAAAGAAACTTAAAAAGCTCCAGATATGCTGCATCATACTGCATTAAAAATTCTAGACAATTCAAAACCAAGGTTGAGTTTATTTTCTTTCTAAAGTGATCATTTTGATTATAACTAACTTAATTAATGGCATTATTTATTAATAGACATAAATAAATCAAAACTAAAAATAAATATCAGTAAAGAGACCATGGCAAAAAATCTAAAATCCAGTCATCTGTGTGAGTTCTGCAGGAAATGTAGATTAATTCATATTAACTGCATTATCCAAAGTCTGCCAGCACTTTTACTTTAAAAGTCTGTATTGAATTGTGCTTGTTTATATCCTGTGAAAACATATAAGGAGTAGGAGACAGCAGGGAAAGAGGATCTCCAATCTCATTAATTCAGTGACAAAATTTGTATAATTTCTAGCATTCTCTGTTCTTTTTCTTATGCTTTTTTGTTTATGGGTCTCTTTTTTGTTACTCTTTTCAATCTTGAGGGACTCAACTCATTTATTGTTCAGCCACAACAATGTCCTCTCTTTCTTTTCTTGAGCTCTTTCTACAGTCCCATAAATTTAGATTTCTTTGCTCTCTGTATTGGGGAATTTTTTATTTTCTTTCTAGCCCATTCTCGTGCTGCCAGATCTGATTTATGGCCACATACTTGCAGATACTCTTAGAAAAGTGGCCCAAAGATTGGGCAGTACTAATGCCTCAGTTATTTCACAGGGCAGGTGACTTTCTTCATGAGAAGCACTGCTCTGAGATCTGAAGAGTTAGTTCTAGAAAGGATGCACAGTAATGAAGGAGCAGAAGTTGTGACAGAGCCAAAAGTCATTACTTATTGTGGAAGCAGTATCTAGAATTAGTCTTTGTGGGACAACAGGCATGGGAAACCTAGAAAAAAAGAAATGAGGGGGAAAAAAATTAACATCTTTTAATCTGTCAAAACCATATGTGAAGGAATGCCCTCTGATTGTGCAGACAGCTTGTGTTTTGGCAGATGCGAAGACATACTGACAGAATGCTGAGGAGGCTTGTTTTAGAAGCCTGTGGTCATGCTGTGTGGCACAAGCATGTTTGAATACTGCCCCTTCAGTCTTGCACACACCACCTTCACTGTAGAATATTCAGAGCTAAAAGCCTGGGATAGTGTTTTGCTGTATAGATTCCTGAATTCCTGTCTAGACTTATGACTGTATACAGGTGGTTTGACTTCAAAAGGTACTGTGATATTCTTCTCGTCTTCTTTTTCTTCTTTCTCCCTCTCCAGTTACTGGAGATTCAGTGCCTTTTTTGTGGATTGAGTTCTTAATTTTGAGCAGGCATGCCTGAAAAATACAGGGTGAGGCTACAAGGTACTTAGAGAGTTAAAAAAAAAATTTTTGCCAGTCATTCATTCATTCACTGATTTATACTTTTGATTGTGATTCCTTTCCTAACTGACCAAATGTTAGCATAGTTTAGTTTGATCTTGTTTTGTTTTATTTCACTGGGTCACGGGTTGTTTTTTTTTTTAATGGATACTCACTGATTATAAGAGTGGTCTGCCACCAAGACTTGCTTAACCATGTAAGCCAGATCATAGTGGCGACACATGGACTATGACATGAGGAGGACTGCAGGACAGCAGAGTCTACTTAGTGTTTGTAGAAACTGGGATCCAACCCCCAACCAGGGCAGACCACAGTGACTTGCTGAGAGGTCTGAAGACCCCTCTTTTCTTCTGATACACTCCAGGAAATTTCTGAGTTGTGTGGCATTTTTACTCCAGCAGTTCATTAGATCATGTAGCAAATACTTTTCGAAGCATGGCACCATAAATAGTTAGCACATTCCAGTTCTGGAGTCACTAGTTGGTGGTTCCTCATTGATATGGTGCACCAGAGCTGGAGGTTAAGCTGTCTGGTGAGCTTAACCTTGGTGTTGTGGCTCTCTGCTACTCTGCCACTCTGGCCATGATAATGACTTACAGTCAATCCTTCATGCAGCTTATTTACTGTGTGTACTGGCTACTGCCAAGAGGTATAACAAAACCAGGTTATACTCAAGTAGAAAATTACAATTAACATTACTACTTTTCATTCCTAAACGCTGGCAGCTTAAATCAGACAAGTATCAAGAGTCCCAGTCCCAGAGAGCTTACAGACATAAAAAGATAAATGTGCTGTGAGGCCACTGTATCAGAAAGAAACACATGCTTTCAAAGAAAATAAATTGCTCTAAAACAGGAAGGCAGGAGAAAGGTGGTTTCATAAATGCATGCCTGCCTTCTCAAAAGTCTGAAACCACAGTTAGCCTATAATAGAATGCATTTCCACTTATGAAGGATTCAATGTATGTTGTATATTTAGTTTGGATTTTTTGTTGTTGCTCATCTTGATGGCCTAGATCCCAGATACTCTAATTTTGCTGTATATGTTTCTACCTAAATTTTAAGTTTTACTGGTCCATCATTATTTTTCTGGCAGTCACCATGGAGTGTGTCTGAACTGTTCTGAACAAGATAATAACCTTGTTTGGTTTTTTTCCTCCAGTTTTTCTGGTTTTTACTTTTTCCATTCATACTCACGTTCTTACAGGCCATACTAATTTTTCTGTACTCAGTCTAAAGAATTTTTTTCTCATTATTATTATATCAGAAGCTTAAGCTTTAATGGCTTATTTCTACCCACATTTCTGTTTTTGCAACTCTGCCCAACCAATCCCATTACATTTTCAAAATGGTATTTGGCCTTCAGCTCTAAGGATAAAAGTCTTCATGGCTTAAAGTCTCTACTGGCAGAGAAGTCATTTGGCATGGGAGACACATGACACAGACATGGAGTGTGTACCCAGCCAGACACCTGGGCTGGAGTGAGCAGCAGAGCCTTTACAAGCCCATAACAGAACCCAGGTTTAAAATGCTCCTGGATTTCTTCTCTCAGCTTCACATAAAGCCTTACCTGACTCTTGGAGAACTAGGTAGGCACCACAGACATGCAGGCAAAAAGTGGTAGGAAAAATGGGAATAGCAGCACCACAGGCGGGCAAAGATAACAACTGTTGGGGGAAGAAGCAAAAAAACCCAAGGGAAAACTAATAAATCTAATGGTCTGTGTGTAGTGTAATAATTATGGAATAAATACATAGGAATAAGGAAGCACAAAGACAATAAAGTTTTGGAGGAATCCTTTGCAAGACAAAAAGATCCTTACCATCAGTCAATATTTAGAGGATGAGTGGTCCCTTTATTGACCCTTAGATGCGTAAGGTGTATCCCAGTCTTGTTTTCTCATATTTTGTTATTCTAATGCTTCAGGATTTTCATTTGAGACTTAAAATACTGCTTGTTAGTTCAAGATTTTCTGCCATATCTTCCTATTCAAATGTTTTTGCTGCAATGAAGAACGAGCAAGATCATGAAATAAGACAGACATGTTAGGCCTGAGGGAGTTGGCTGGATTATTCTCTTTTTTTAAACCTGGCAGAGCAAGGATGCACACTTAACACTTATGATGCCAAATAAATCGTGTGCACTTTAGGGAGGGAAATATGAACAAGTAGCTTCTGGTGTTTCCTGCAGGTTCCCTCTGCCCATATGAAGTTGAGAAAAAAAGTTTTTCTTTGCCCTTCTCTGGGTTTCCTAGTCATCTATCATATCCTCTAACAACTGCAGTAAACATTTTACTTAATATGCCCATGTAGATTTGCATATGTAACTTACTATCAAAAAAAGGTCCTTAACATTTAGAGGTGTGTTGCAATCTTCTTAGGCTTCTATAGCTCTTATTATTAATGGGAATAAAAGGAAGGCATCTCTGTGAATATTAATATTCACAGTTGCTTTAAATAATCCAAAATTAATCAAGGCAAAGACAATGCTCTGTGAATCCTGTGTTCTGGGGTATCTTATTCCATCATGGCATTCTGCTTAAAAAAATACTTGAACCCATCTCCTCATGTGTGCACACTGGAGGACATATGGTGCATTTCAGCTTTAAATTTGAATTTCCTTAATTTTGCAGGTTTAACTTATTCCCTTAACAGTACTTTAATAGGCTTTTTTTTTAATTGTTCAGTTTTGTTTTATTACAGTTGTCTTAAAGGGATATTAGAGATATAAAGGTTATTAGAGGGATAGAAGAAGGAAAAATTGCGCAGGCATGCAGACAGACTTATGGAAGAGTGTGCAATAGATATTTCCATCTCACTGTAATATAACAATCTCCATGTCAGTGAGTGAAACATTATGTTTTTTTCAGTTGAGATGTATTATCTCAGCTAAAGTATATTAGGCAGTCTGCTGTGTTATGTTCTGCTCCATCTGGTCAGCCATTTAGGTTCAATAGCAAGTATCAATGGAATTGTTTCTTATCAAGTGTTTCAGTGCGGTTAAATCCTTGATTTGGTAAAACAGTCTGAAAAAAGTAATTACTGTGCATATGCAGATTTTCCTGGTTTTGAAGTTTATGGCACCCAACCATAGTGAAAGTAAGCAGAATTAGAATGGGGAAATGGAAGAAATGCAGATTTCTGTAGCTTGCACTCTACAGTCCCTGGTTCACAGAAGCCCAGCCCAAACTCCTCTGTTGGAAGGTCAGGCCTGTGGACTGGAACACAGTGGAGACAGAGATAAAAAGGAGCAGCTGTCTGGAAAGTACCCTTGTGCCCTAGATGTATGGCTATCCATGAGCACAATTCCTTCTTTTAGCCACGCTAGCTTCTCCAAACTGCACTGCTGTGGCAGAGAACAAGGGCAGCTTTTGGACCCTGTGTTTTGGGAGGTGTAACATTTAAAAGTGGATGTGTCTGTCCCAGCATGGTTACAGAGGACTGTCAAGGCACTCACCTTGGTTCCTTACATAATCAAAAGAGGCAGTAGTTTCAAGTATCTAAATGAGATCTTTACCAGATCCCTCTGATTAAGGAGAGACTTAGGTAGATCAACCAAGGACTCCATTGGGCTGACCAGGGACCTGTAAGGGACACAGGTAATTCTTGTGCCACTCCTTAGTGGGTAGGCCTTTAGGGTAGAAATGTTTGATTCTTGAATCTCTGTTTTCTGCAGTTTTAAACTTTCATTTCTCAGGAGCTTAGATTAACTGGATCTTAGCCCCTGAGATTTGTGAGGCCAGGAAAAGAGTCAGTGAAAATAGTTTACTGAATGTGCTAGTAAGAAGGAGTTTCTGTTGGGAGACAAATATTTTAGTGATGGCTTCCTGCTGCAGGAATTATTTATTTATTTTGCATTAAATAGCTCCTGAGAGCAAAGTGCTCTCCTGGGAACAGGAAGACAAGATTTCCAGCACCCCAGCTAAGAATTCTGATGGTCTCAAATGAATACTCAAACAAGTAAAGAAGCTACATCAATATAATTTCTGGTTTTACCTGTGTTTTGGTCTGATCTCAATTGTATTGTCCGTGGTCCAAGAGTGGCTGGTGCTTTACGCCTCTGTAGGGACTCATGGAAAAGATACATTTTATGCTATATCTGAATTGTAACACTATAAACTACCTGTCTCTTCAGGCTAGAATGTTTCTGAGCAGGAATGCAAGTCTATATTTAGGTCCCTAGTGCCTTTTGCGTTGCACAGTTGAGGTGCCATTAGCCTTTAGGCACCTCCAGGTTACGATAGTCATGAATTCTCAGCAGTCAGTGTAGCTCCTTCGGCATTCGGCACCTAAATTCTGCACAAGTCTCAGGTGCCAAAGTTGATGGTTTAAACTGACATTGCTGCACTGACTGACAGATTTACGCCAGCTGAGAATGTGGTGGTGGTTGGATTTATGGGACTGCTGTGTGGGTGTGTAAGGGATGAGCAGTAGGGCCAGTAGTGCCAGGCCAGAGGCAATCGGAGACAGGAAGGCTGAGCACCCAAGCCATGTATAGCTGGTGCTTCTTTGCCCTGGTTACCTTAAGGTCAGTGTTTTAAAGATCTCCTTTTTCCATTTTCTTTTCTTGCAGCTCACTAAATGGCTCTGCCCTCAGAAAAGTGTTTATCCTAAAATTCATGAAGTGACTCTTAAAGGGTTTTCTAGTCCTTCCCTCATTTGGCTGAGCACTTGCACTAAGGAAGGAATGATACGACCACAGCTTGATTGTTATAAAAGTATCTGATGCTTTCTTCCAAGTGTTGAAAGAACATGCAGAAGAAACCCTAGCCTAGGGTCTTCAGTCAGGTGGTTTTTATTCTGAAGAAACCAAAAGGCAGTGGTGACTGTGGGATATATTTTACTTCCTGTCATTCCCCCTGCAATATTTATTTTAATAAAAGGCATATTTTGGACCCAGTCCTGGTTTCTACTGCCATAGAGTTAATTTTCTTCTTAGTAGCTACAGTAGGTACAGCACAGTATTTTGATTTAGTGTTAATGTTGATAAGACATTGATGTTTTAATTATTGTTAAGTAGTGCTTACTCTGAATGAAGGACTTTCCAGTTTCCCATGCTCTGCCAGGGAGCAGGTGCACCAGATGCTTGCGGGGAGTATGGCCAGGACAGGACCTGAGGTGGCCAAAGGGATATTCCGTACCATATGGCATCATGCCCAGTATATAAACCAGAGGGAGTTGGCTGGAGAGGCAGACCACTGCTTGTGGACTGCTTGGGTGTTGGTCAGCAGGTGCTGCACTTGTTTCTTTTGGGTTGTATTCCTCTCTCTCCCCTTTTCAGTACAATTACTGTCATTATAATTATTACTGTTATTATATCTTTCTTTGTTTCATTTATTAAGCTGATCAGAATACAGGTGTTTCACCTTTTTCTGGTTTTCCTCCCTATCCCACCAACGAGCAGGGAATGAGCTAGGGGCTGTGTAGTACTTAGTTTTGGTTGGGGTGACAGTCTTAAAAAGTTTTCTCTCTATTTAAAGGTATGGATTATGGGGAAAAAGGAGTGCAGGATGAATCAGCTGTTGAGTCATATGAATTTATAATGTTATGCTTGTGATACATTTTGTTATGTCTGTGGTATACTTATGCAATTATTTTGTTACTTTATGCTAGTCTGCAGCTAAGACGAGTTTTGCTTGCTATTCTGTACATGGCAAGAGAAAGGGAGCTCCTAGTTTGGAGGAGTTTGCAGTCCTGGAGGGGAAGTGGTAGAAAGGGTGAGAGGGAAGAAGGTGCAGTAGGATACAAAGGGAAGCATCTGTCAGTGTACAAAACAGCAACTCCAATCAGTGAACCCTTCCAGGAGCACACCTCCTGACAAATGTAGTGTCACTTAAATACCTCAGATGCTTTCCAGCAGAGAACTATTTCATGTATGTGCAAGATGCGGTAGGCCTTCCAGAAAAGAGTGTTTCTATAATTTTGCATCCTCTGCACATCCGTGTGTGTCTTTGCGTGCATGTATGTACAGATTCATCTCTATTACACATTTGTTAAAAGAACTCCTTCCGGTTGCTCTTTATCAACAGGAAGAACGTCGTGTGATTTATCTGGGTAAAATCAGACCTGACACAACCCGAACAGAACTGAGGGACCGGTTTGAAGTTTTTGGTGAAATTGAGGAGTGCACAGTAAATTTGCGGGATGATGGGTAGGAACTTTTGAGATTACTTCTTGTTTGAGAGCTGCCATATGTAAAAAATTATGGCAGTAAGATTACTGGTATGGGAGTTACCAGTATAAGTCCTGTGACAGATGACATGCTGAGTTCAAAACCTTACTTATTTTCTTTCATCCTTATTTATTAATCTTGCTAGTTGAAATTTCCTGTCCCAGAAATAAGTATTTAGCTGCATGACAGGACAATCATGCTGATAAATGGATGCAGTACTTCTGGCATTTCCACTGCTAGGTCTCCAGCAAGTTTTTGCTTTCAGGAAGGGGTTACACTAATGTGTGTTAACTCTTCTCAGCTTTTGTTCACAACTGTATTTTTCAATGGCAGAGACAGCTATGGTTTCATCACCTACCGCTATACTTGTGACGCCTTCGCTGCTCTTGAAAATGGATACACTTTACGCAGGTCAAATGAACCTGATTTTGAGCTGTACTTCTGTGGACGCAAGCAGTTTTGCAAGTCTAACTATGCAGATCTAGGTAGGTATTTTGCTCTATGTGAATTGAAGTACATAGCAGGAATCTTGTAACTCATGAGAATTTAGGGTTTGCTTCTTTTTTGTTTACTGCTGATACCATTTAAATGATTGGAGGGGTGTTGAAGAAAGTGTTTTTCACCTGCTGTAAGACGTTTAAAAGTCTAGCATTCTGAGCTGGTTTCTTTCAGATATTCCAAACTGTGAATATTCTTTTAAAGCCCATTTGCATCATTATCAAAAATAAGTGCCCAGTATTCAATAATACATTTCTGATTTGAAAAGATAGCACCACAGAAACCTCCCATATGCTTTACTATTTATTGCTATAATTGTTTGATTCCAATACCTCACTTACGTATATGAGAGATAAACAGAGGACAAAGTAGAGGCCTCAACCCAAAAACTTCATTATGATTCTTACTTTGCTATGAGTTATACTGTAAATGGGCAGAATTTGCCAGGGGCACTCATTTAACACAATTCATAGTTGCTTAAGTTTGAAAGCTAGAAGAGCTTGTGGCCAAATCTGACCCTTAGTGTGATTCTAAAACCATGCATAAGCATCTATGTGTATGAAGGTGTCTCCTTGCAGGGCCTTCCAGCCATGATGTCAGAGACTCCAACCTGTGGAAAGCTCAGCAATTCTCTTGGTGTTGGCAGTTCCAATGATGTGGGGCTTTATGCACAGCAGTCTCCAGCCCCCAGTTTGCTGTGATAACTCCAATCCCAAGTGTGCATGCTGGCTGTGACAGCTCACTTGGGTCTGTCTGAGTCTTGCCTGGACAAAAATGTGTGATTCTGTCCTATGCTCCGAGTCAGGTTGTGGTGCTTCTTCCCCTTGCAAGGCTTTTTGGAGAAGTTCAAAGTCTTCCAGCAGGAATACTGATGTTAAGTATATGTGTAAAGAAACTGTGCAGACTACCAAAACAGCCTCTGTAATATTACAATATAGGATAAACTCACCTCTTATTTAATTACCTTTTAAAATGTAAAGTATTCATTAAATGTTAAACCTTTCTTAATATCTGTATAAATAGACTAAAGGCATGGAAAATACTATTTTCTGAATTACATAGCAAGGCACATTTTTGCTGTTGAATCTATGTTAATCAGATATTGTGGATTTTTTAATGAATAAATGACCACAGTCATTAAAATCTCTCATAACCCTGTAACACAGTGCTAATGAAATCTTGTATGTGCTGCCCTCAGCTTTGTACAATGCAGGAAGTGAATACAGATATATTTTTCCTAACCAATTGATCTCTTTTCATAATGAATTATGAAGATTATATGCATTGTTCACAATGAATATGCTATAATTCACTTCAGTGGCTAAACAGATAATGTAAAGCTAAGAAAAGGCAATTGACTGCTGAAGAGATGCAAGGTTGATGTAGAAAATATAAAAGGTAGTAAGGCATTTGTTGAAATGTAGGCTGATAAAAACAGTAAAACCAGATTAAAGTCTTGCCTTGATTTGACTTATCTTCAGCATTGGAAGCCAAGGTCATCTCTGTATCTCAGAAAATCTGGGGTTTAAAGTAAGTTGTCTGAAGGGAACCCTCTTGAACATTATTCGTCACTGGGAGTATTCCCTGTCAACTCTCTCCATTGTGAGAGGGATTCCCAGAGTATCTGTGAGCAGACTGTTTTCACTTTGTCCTGCTGACAGCTTGGGCTTCTGTACTTCAGACTGCATTCCCTGTATTTTGCAGAATATCTGATAGAGCAGCATAAGGAAATGGCAGGATGAACTTTAAAATTCATGAGCTGGTACGAGGACAGAGAGAATTAATCAGCTTTGGGTTGAGTACAGAAGAAAGAAAACACTTGAAAATAGTAGTCAGAAGTTTAACACCTCTCCTCTGTGAGAAGATATTGTCTTAACAGAACTTGTAATGAACATTTAATGCGCAGTGTGTCTTATAGTGGTAGATGGGGAGTTCTGATTAATTCAACACAAGAAATGGCAAGAAAAGGGCACTCTCATAAAGGAGCTGTGACACAGGAACTGGTGAGAGTCAGTGTTAAGCAGGGTTGACTCCAAAAGGAAATTCATTGCTTGCAGCCATGTCAATAATTGTGCTGGAGTTGTGTGGCCACAGATGTACAATCCCTCCTCTGTGCTGGGAACAGACTGATGTCCGTGCCTGAGCAACTGACAAGGCTGGAACAGGTATCCCAGGCTGCAGGAGCTGGGCTGCTCTTGCTGCTGTGGCTTATCACGTGTGATGCAGAAAGCTGAGGAGCCCACCTGAGACTGCTCATGCAGCCATGCAGGGGCCCTGCCCAGAATTGCTCACACTCTAAACAAGCAAACCCAAAAAGATAAACTGAAGCAAAACCAGAGATTCTGGCAGGTGTAAAGACTTCCACAAGGCCCCAAGGCAAGGTGGGCTCTGTCCTCTGTATGCTGCTCACAGACTGACCTGGCTTTCTTCAGAACCTTTCTTAGGAAAATTAAGTCTTGGACATGTTACAGAACAACAATTACAAGACAAAGGTGGAGTTTTGGTTAAGGCATCTGTCAAGATTATCTGGACTACTTTGAGACCTATACACGAGTGTCTTGGTGCTCAAGTCCTTGAGGAAACTGTTTTGAGTTAACCTGCTCTAAAAGTTTATGCAATTAGTGGCTCTTCCCCACTGCTGACGATGTGTACCACTTTTGTTAGGTGCTACTTCCTACCAGGAATGCCTAAAGCTTCTGTGATGGTCATTTCTATGCTTCTATCATCCCATAAAGTTGTGGTTGTAAGTGGAGTGTTTCTTCAGTGTCTTGTTTGTACCAATGTACAGAGAAAATAAGTAGTTCTTGCTTCTTACTTAAACTTGCATCCTTTGGGTTTCAGATTCAAACTCAGATGATTTTGATCCTGCTTCTACTAAAAGCAAGTATGACTCCATGGATTTTGATAGTTTACTCAAAGAGGCACAGCGGAGCCTGCGTAGGTAACAAGCATGTCATCCGAGGAAAACAAAGGGATGGCGAATACCTCACGGACATCACGTCCTTCAATAACGGACAACTAAAAAGTCGTACTTAGGAATTTCTCCTACTTTACACTCTCTGTTCAAAACCATGGTTTACATGAACACAGCTGCTCGAGGAGTGGAGGGGCAGGATGCTGTCCAGTAAGCACATGCATGTCCATGGGTGTCAGCTGCGCTTTCGCCGGTGAGCGGTGGCGGGGGAGCCGGGCGTTCCTTGCGCGTTCAATGCAAATCACGAGACATGGCAGCAGTTCCACAGAGATACACGTACAACGATGAACTGCAAAATCTGTACATATTGCATTTTAACAAAAAAAGAACAAAAACAAACAGAAAAAAACCCCAGTGTGAGAACTATGGCTGCTGATGTCTGGGGATCAGACACTGCATTTTTTTTTTTGTAAAGAAGCTTCTTCTCACGATGATAATATGACAATCCAGAAGAAACCACAGGTCCCAGAAGCCTGCAATCTGTCTTAGCTTTGTTTTAAGATTGTTCTTTTTTGGTTTGGTTTGTTTTTTGGGTTTTTGGGTTTTTGGTTTTTTTTTGCAGAAAAGAAAATTAAAAGGCTCAAGCTTCCCTAACATTTTGAAGTTTCATCTTTTAATTCTGACACCCATGTAAATGTCTACAACATTGATCTTCCACAGCAAAATTTTCAAAGCCTTGTTAATGGTCAAATGTGCAGCTTGTTCAGCGATTTATTCTAATGAGCGGACGTGGTGTTACATTATTAATGAGAGTTGGATATAACTATCTGGGTGTGTGCACAGATAGTTTATTTGCTACATTCTCTAAAGTAGTTGAGTATTTACAAATGTTAAATGGAGTATTTTTATTTATGTACATACTGTATGACGTTCTTTTTTGTTACAGCTATGCACTGTAAATGCAGCCTTCTTTTCAAAAACTGCTCAATTTTTCTTAATCAAGAATACTCAAATGTAATTATATGAGGTGAAACAATTATTGTACACTAACATATGTAGAAAGCTGAACTTACGCTTATATATATTTGATTGTAAAAAAAAAAGAGAAAAGCGTGTGGGTGAGGGTGTGAGTGTGCATATGTGTGCATGTGTGTCTGAGTGCAAAAATGCATTATACACATTCATCCCTTCTTTGGTGAGCTTATATAAGAATTTTGTCAAGAATTATCCTAGCCCAAAAGATATTAACCACCTTCTGCAGTATTTTTCCACATTTTTCTCATTGCTTGATTTTCTTTTGCAGTTTTATACACTGAATTTGTTAGGGGAATGAAATTTTCTCATCTAAATTTTTCTAGAAAATATCATAATTTTATGTAAAGTCTCTCAAATGGGTAATCATTAAGAAATGTTTTTATTTTATGTATCAACGGTAGTTTTGGAACTAGAGGTCAAAAATCTTTTTGAAATGCTATTTTGTTTTAATTTTTGTGATTTTAGTTTGATAAAAATATGCTGAGGTACTAAGTACAGTATGATTTTTACAGTAATTCTGTGTCTAAACACTGTTCTTGAAGCCAGTAATCTTTTCATTGGCAGAGTTTAATGATGGTATTTATCTATATTTTTTACAGTTATGCATCCTGTATAAATACCAATCCTTCATTCCTTTGTTTACTAAAGAGACATATTTATCAGTTATAATTATCCTATTTATTATAAATTATGAGATGACTAAAAGAATAAAAAGGCCAGTGGAAATTTTATACCTAGGATGCATGATGGTTGTCAGTTTGGAGTAAGCAAGTGCTTTGTTTGGAAATTCTGCTTTTGCAGAAGCAGTGGGTTGGTTTTGGGTTTTTTCCTCTTTTTTTTACTATGCACTAGCATGGCCTCAAATGTGCCCATGACATTGTTGCTGATGACATTGCTTCTGTTAAATTAAATAGAAATTTCAGGAAGGAAAAAAACCACAAGAGTATAAACTACTGCTATTCTGAGCATCAGAATTTCATCTGAACTCGGAGTCTCTACTGAATCAGCAAAGTTTGGAATTTGCTTGTGAATGTATAGATTTCTTATTCTATTACTCTTTGGCATTCATGACTCTTCTTAAAGGTATGGCACACCTAACTATTTAATCTACCTTCCCACTCCAAATCTTAGAAAACTGATTCTACCCCCATACCAGTGCAGTTGATTTTGATGGCTGCATTCATTTTATCACCAGCATATTGTGTTCTGAGAGATTCCACTGTCTGTCCTGTCGGATGCTTGCTTGATTTTTTGGCTTCTTATTTCTCAGTAGATAGATAGCAATAAAATAAAAAAAAAAAGACAAGAACTCTTCTGGAGGTTCTGTGTTACAAATGTAACATCCTTTACTCTGCATAATTCTTGTTGTTGCTCTGTAGGTTAAAAATGCAGGTATTTTAACTTTGTGTGAATGCCAAACTAAAAGTTTACAATTTTTCTTTCTGGATTTTGAGTATCTTCTGTTGTAAAAAAAAAATATTAAAAGCAATAAATTATTTTTAAGAAATCAATATTTAGTATATCATATTATGTGTTCAAGGACCAGATGCATTACCTATTTTGCCTTTACATTTCTGTCATTAAATTTTAAAATGTTCTCTTTTGCCCTAGACTGCTGACATTAAGAAATTGGTGTGGGGCTTATGTGGGGGCATTATTTATTTTTCACCAAGCAGGCATAATGAAGTGAGTAAAAATTTTTTTTTTCACTGGCCTGGCAAACATTTTCATCTTGAAGATGGCTTTCCTCTGTGGATTTACAAATTAAATATGAAATTAATAGAGCTAGGATTGCTAAATAAAGCTATTTGGATCTTTCATAGACACTGTAGTAGGAAATCCATCAAAATATAAACTCAGTGTTTACTTTTCTTTTTTTCTTTCCCAAGAACATTTCAAATTAGCACATGTGCCACATTGTCACCAGAGGCAAATTGCAGTATAGCTCTGTGTGTCTTTTATAAGAAGACTGTACTGTTGCTTTCATGCTGTGGTAAGTACCACATCCACAATACAGGTAACAGAACTGGTACTTAGGAACTGTGGTCTCTCCTAGAGCTGTAACTGAGTAATTCCTGCAGAATGGAAAATGATCTAAATACTAATCCAAACACAGGGAGTCTAGAGTTGAAGAAAAATATCAGTGCTAAGCTACTCTGAAAATCAGTTGGGTTGCCATCACCATGAGCAGCACTGAGAGGAAAGTTTGTGCCTCTGGGGTAATAATACTTGGGTCAGTTGAAAAAAAAAAAAAACCAAGAAACACAACCACACCTCCTTCTCATCCCTTTAGATGTAAGCTTACAGTAGGTAATGATTATGTGTCCTTCTTAATGGCTGTAATGAGAACTTCAATCACTATAGTATAAGATCTGATCTATAAATCAACTAGAATAGCCATGTAATATAATGTGATGATTCTAAATTTGTACCTATGTGACAGACATTTTCAATAATGTGAACCACTGACCTGATGGAGCTACTGTAAGATTTGTACAGTAGGTGAACATGTGAAGTTGTAGGTTGGACTATGCTGAACAGGGGAAGTGAGATAGTAGTTAAGCCCAAGCTGGGCTATTTTCCACCTGCTGATTCTACATGTACTTTTGTGGTTTAATTCATTGTATGAAAATTCCTGTGATTTTTTTCTTTTTTTTTAATGTGCAGTACACATCAGCCTCACTGAGAAAATAAAGGGAAACGAATGTTTCAAATTCCTTTCTGTTTCTCATTCTTATTACAGGTTTTTTCCCCCTGCAATTGGTTGTGTAGTGGGTTTTCTGTTATTCTTTCTAGTGGTTGTAATTTATTTCACATTATTGGCCAGAGCATGCCTGCATTACTGTACTTTGTACAGGGCACAGCATCACCAGTTTTGATATATTTAATGGTAGAAAGTGGTACCTTTCTGCCATGAGTACCCAAGTCTGTTGAAGACCCGTGCCATAAATCATGTAAGAAAACTTTCAAAACATTCTCAGTGGAGTTTAAGAGTTGTGGTTTGAGTTAGAGGGGGGTGGGGAATGTAAGGACTTTTCTATCTGGCCATGCTGGATCCCAGTGCAGGTTGTAGGGACTGAGAAGTGCAAAATGGTTGGCATCTTCCATCCTGAGATGATAAACACCTGTTCTGGGAGTAAGCCTGTCATGAGAGTTCTTCGCCAGCCCATCTCAGCAGACAGATCAGGAGAAGCAGACAGGTAGGTGGCAGGACAAGTGTGGCTTTCCTGACTCCTTTGGGGACGATACAGTGTGCAGCCTATGGGCTTGCACAGCAGCATTGCCACGGGCACGCAACAGGTAGGCCTGGGGATGGCAGAGGGTATTCACACCCCTCTCCTTTGCATGCACAGAAACAGGGGAAGAATGACTTTTGTTTGGTTTGCCCAGGGTTCATTCACAGGTAGCCATTTTTTGGCTGCAGGCCTGTTCTGCTGTGACAGCAGCCTTCTCTGGGGGCTCACAGCACGGCACCGTGTGGCTGAGTCTTCTCCTGGATGTCACCTCGGCAGGGACCCAGCTGTGATGTGAGGAGCAGCACAGGGCAGCTGCTGGACAGCCTGGCTGTGCTTTTTAAGGAGAGGACTACTGAATTCACTTGAAAAAATTGCTTTTCTCAACCAGCCTCCACCTCATCTCTCTTCCTAACATTGCAGTTTAATTTATGCTCCGTAACTTGCAAAAATGTTTAGCTTTTGCATTTTTACCATTTACTAATCCAAACTGTTCTGCTTGGCTCTCGCAAGGGTGGTAGAGTGAAGTTCCTCACTCTGCGGGGTTTGCATTGTTGACTCTCTGATCAAATTAATGCTCAAAACGTAGTAGGCCAAATCATTCCTGATCTATTTCAGCAGTCTTGCTGCTGTTCCTCAAGGAATGAATTTAGCCCAATATTTCTCCAGTTACTAGGCTTTCTAATTTCATTTGTTTATTCATTTCATATTTTTGCATAGCACTTTTGATGCTTGCCAAAAAAAGCGCTCCACATTAGATTTCCAGGAAACTATTGCCTCCCATCTCCTCATTTTTACATTACTAAGGTCTATTGCATAAAATCAAGGCTTTCCATTGCCTCTTATCCTGGGTCACCATTTTTCCCCATGTTGAATATTGCAAGCTGAGCACCTGAAATCAGATTCAGGCACCTCAATGAGTGGCCTGATTTTCAGAAATGCTGAGCATCTCGCAGCTCCCATTGACTTCAATTAGACCTGCTGTCTCTCAGCACTTTTAAAAATCAAGCCACATATATAGAGCCCCAATTCAGCACAGCGTTTACATTTGTGCTTAAGTCTGTCCTGATTCAGCAAAGCACTTAAGCACGAGTGTTTTTAGATCCATTGAAGTCAAGTGCTCGGCTGCTTTGAATAAAAATAGACTCCTGGATTGGGGCCTGAGATTCCAAATACAGAAACCAACACCTAATTTTAGGCTCCATTTGGAAAACTGCCTCTCCTACCACCTTTAACCTTTAATGCTTACAGAAAACACAAAAACGACCATCAGGTCTTAAGGGGAAGAGAGAGAGGTTTAGGGGAGAGAAGTGGAAGCGATGGACAGAATTATTCTTTGAGGAAAATATTTTGAAAACTTTAAATTCAACTCTTGCAAGATGCCTT